CCAGGCTGGGAACTAGAAAAAGGTTGTGTCGTTTGCAGCCAAGTCCACAGAAAACCAGCTGTGGAGTCTTCAGAGGAATGCAGAACTGTACTCTAGCACTGATTTTATTACTGATTAGGGAATATTCTTTCATTAATGGTAAACCTAGGAGCCTGATAGTTTCAGAAAGTTTCTGTAATGAAGGCTGCTGAAAATGGGAGCCACTGTATCTGCATGCAAATAAGGGGAGAGAAAATGTCTCTTAATGAAATTGGACTGATCAAGTAAAGGGTTGGAAAGCTGTGGGAGCTTTGGGGTTTGGAAGGCATGTACTTTCTTACACGATACAAAATGAAGCAGAAACCTGATTAGTAAGTTCCTCTAGCCTGTTTTTATTTAAAATTCAGGCAGAACAGAAATGGGATGCAGGAGCTAAACTATCCCAGTTCAATTAGCACAGAAAGGCGAAGAGCCAAGGTTTTCCTCACCAAGATCTTCTGGGGCAATCCTCAGGTTTCCTCTTTCCAGCATAGCCAGATGTACTCTCCACACAGGGCCCAGAGTTGTAATTTTTAGTTCATAGTTGAATACGGTCTGCGTCTTTACTTCTTCTCCAAACATACTTTATCTTTCCTTGGTGTGATGCTCTGCATGTATTTGCAGAATCTCTACAGGTTTTGGGTGTCTCTACACACCAGGAGAACTGAGTAGAGCTACATGAATAATAGATACTTTGGTTCAGTGGCTGAACCAAATGGTTGGGGAAAAAATGCAGTTTGGGTAGACTAGAAACAGAAACATGTTTTGCTTGAAGTTCAGGTGATTTAACACATTTTTTTGCACCATTCTTCAAATTAAAAAAAAAAAAAAAGTTGCTTTCAGGAAAACAAAACAAACCAAAAACTGTTAATCTGAAAGAGAAAGGTGAAAGCATCTAAAACTGTCAAAATGAACTATGTAAATTTTGCTGACCTGACTCCCCCCCCCCCCCCCATATATTTGGCCAACTTGTGTCCCTCCTTTAGGACAGTATTCCAGTTGCTGAAAGGCTTTAGTTCATTTAAACATAAGGAATTGTTGCTGTGAAGAAGCAGTGACCTTGGCCACTGCTGAAAGGTCTTTAGGTGCCAGTCTATTCTGGCACAAGCCACTATCACCAGCGTCCAGTCTAGACATTTTCAGATACCTGGTAGATAGAGGAATTTGTCCTAGGAGACATAGCAAAGACCTGCTTTGGACCCCTGCGAAGAGTCAGTCTCCTGCTAGAAACTTGGGATATGTGTATCCTCACTGGGGAGCAGGGCCTGCCAAGAAAAACTGGACTGTTACCATTGGCAAGCTATTAACATTGCTGAAAAATTCACAAAGAGGGAGACTCGAATCCTCATCAGGCACGGTCTAATTTGAAGTGTCACTTAACTGCTGTTAGGGACACTAAGAGGAAATGAAGTGATCGATCGGCTCACTCCACACCCAAAACAGTTTCCCCACTATGCAAATGCTGCCTGCCATTATGCAAACATTACTTGGCTCTGGTATACAGACATTACACCAAACTATATTTACATAGGTTGAAAGCTAGCTGCCTCAAACTGAAAAGGCTATCATGCTTAATCTGGTTTGGGCACAGCCCCAGCTTGCACTGCGTCCTGCCTTCCCAGGACAGCCCATCTCTGTGTCTCTCCCAGGGCCACATTCTTCAGCATGAAGTCCTTGTGGGAGCACTTTGGCAACCTCTTCGTAGCTTTTTACCCACCTTGAGTTGGAGGCCTGTGTTCGCTTTTACTGAGTCTTCTTTAAAATTCAGGCTTCCACTGAAATCAAGGGAATTGTGACTGGCTTGAATAAAGCATTACAGAGTCAGAGAAACATCTCATCTTCCAAAAACCCCTTATCCTCACCTGCCTACCTTCAACAGGGCTTGGCGTACTGGGTAGGATCTTGCAAGTCCATGTGGGATGTAATGATTAAATTAGGCATCTGAAGGTATTTGGAAAAGAACTGCAGCTCAGACCCTCAGAGACATCGCTTTGCACTGACTGTATGTGGAATTTAAGCTTTTACTATGTATTAGGTCATCTTGTATCTGCTATGCAGGTAGGTGTAAATTTGAGGCCTAATGCAGTTGAAGGTTATTACTTGGTCTGAGGACAGGAAATCACAGTAACAAGCACAGGTGAACTGTGCTTAACATGGTTTGCATTCTACTATACTTTTATAAGTTTCTATTTTGCTAACATAAAAAGTTTTAGAAACTGGATTTATACTCAGAATGGTCATTAGATTCTTGCCACAGAAAATATATGGACTCAGTCAGAGATCAATATGATCAGACAAAAGCCATTTATTATAGCGTATCAATCCTTTTTATACTGTTTCTCTGCCTCAGCTTACAATAGCTTGCTGTATTATAATCGGATACATTTTCTTGTAATACACCTCAACTACAGTTACATTTACAATAGCTCGCTGTATAATATTGGATACATTTACAATAGCTCTCTGTATTATAATTGGATATATATGCAATAGCTTGTTGTATGATGATTGAATACATATACAATAGCCCAGTATACTATGCTTTGACACATATTCCTGCAGCACACAGCAACTAGTAACAATAAGCCTATGAGAACTTAACCTTTAAAATTTGCTAACAGTCCACTATTTTGTATCTTAGCACAGTCCAGTTTCTTTTTATCTTGCTTGCACTGCTACTTTTGCTACTGCTGCTTTTGCTTCTTTACCCATGTCCTCCTTCATCCTCTGTTCATGTCGAGCTCCACATAGGCACTTGCTGACTTGGGAATGTGGCCATTCTTTGCTAAAAATCCATCCACAGGTTCTACTGTATTGCCATTTTTAAATGAATACATAGACAGCCTTTCAGAGGGCTTTGAACCTTGATTTATTTAGATGCCTTGCATGTTTTATCAATGAGAACCACGATAGCAAATCACACATCACACCTCCTTCCTGGGCAAGTCCATGGAGATACATGGAGGTCTTTCTGTAACCTAACTGCAGTGATATTAACTTGGTATGCAGACATTTTATCCAGTCTTTAATGTCTCACCTTTTACCTAAAGATCAGCCCTTAGTCCACTCTCCCATGTTTTGGGTAGCTGCCTAGCTAGCGCAGGAATGTAAACGTAGGTGGGAAGATTGCACTGTTGTTGGCAGGTACATCACATTTAACTTAATAAATGAGTCAAATCTGGCTGCAGAAGATGAATTCTAGCTGCACTTACTCTTCCATCAAAAGCTACAGGGTTTTCACTTACATGTGGCGTGCCAGCTACTTTGCCTGCACACCTAAGGAGAAAAACAGGCACCTTAAAACACTAGGCAAGCAGGTTGTGGTCTTCTAACTGCAAACTTTAAAGCCTGAAATCAGCTGTTAGGTTTATAGGATTTTCAGTATTTGAAACTCAAATAGTTTGAGTCTCGGGTTGGTTGGAACTACAGCAGCTGAAGCATTTCAGCTTTTCAAATCTTTCCCTAAGCCTTTCTTCATTTTTATGTGTGGAAAACTCTAGACCAGAACAGCACACTGGAAGCAACAGCTGGCAAAGATGCAAAGGGTAATTGAAACAGCTTTAAAAAAAGTTTCGAGAATGTGTAGATCAGCCCCCCTTGGGGAGAAGCTGGACCATGATGCTGTTTGTGGGAAACTGCAAGGAAGAGTTTTGAGACCACCCACAAAACCAGGCAATTTTCAGCAGCATCACTGCAGATTTTGTAACGTGTGAAATGGTAACCACATATTTCTCATCCAAAATAAGAAAGTGACTGACTGGCTGGTGTGCTGAAGATGATACCAGGACTAACAATGCAAGTAATTAATTTCAAAACCATAAAATGATAGCTGCTTTTGATTTTACAGTTGCTGCCTACAAATAGATTGTGTGATTTTCATTAACTGATGTCCAAGATACATTTAATTAGAACATAGTCCGTTAATGTGTGAAAATATAATTTGTAGACTGCAGATTTTTGCATTTTCCAATTCACACAAATGGGAATTAATAACTCAGGTCTCAGAACTGTTTGGTGAATTGTCATTTTCCATGGATACAACCAGAAGATAAAAAGCCCTAGTGTTCAGTAGTGGTTATATATGCAAGGAACAACAAAGGAAGTGTAGCCAGATTGTCTGTCTCCATTCCTTCCATTCCCCTCAGCCTGCTCCCCCAGCTCTACCTCTGGGTTTGTGTCAGCTATCTGAGAATGAGGGCACTATCTGAGGATTAAAGTTACCTGAAAGTGTAAGTTATCCAAGGGCTGATAGGTATCAGGATGTACAGAATAACTGAGGGTTTACTTTCAAGCATTTGTACTTTTAAAAAGGGCTGCCTTTTATTCATTAAATCAGCCAGTTACTGGTGTATAATTTGTGTAATTGCAAAAGTTGGGGTAAGAATTGATTTAGCCAGATGGTGTGGGTGTTAAATTAGAAAACTGGATTAGTAAATCTGGAATACTGTCCTCTTCCCTTTTTGTCTTGCCATGCAATCCTGTATCATCTCTGTTACTGTGATTTCTTGTCCTCAGACCAAAAAATGGCAAAGATGATACTTAGTGCCTCAAAGCAGAGACAAACAGGTTTAGGGAAAGGCTGGGGTAGATTCCTTTGCCTGCAGGAGTCACCTGGTTTAAGCCACCAAAACTACACAGATATGAATGAGACTTGGTCTGAGCCAGTTCTAACAATCAAAAGTCAACATTTTTTAGCAAAACAAGCAGTTGGCTGCTTTATGCATTATTTACACGATATGCATTGTGTGAATATATCAAAATCTGAAATCTGTAGTTGTAGATTACACTGGTAAGTCAACGCTTAGAAATATCAGCAGTAGCTATGCTGTGGTTGTAGCAATATTGCAGAGCTCTGGCCAGGATCAAGAATACTTCTAGAAATGGACAGTTTAAAGTGGCCCTGCTTAGCTTCACATTCATTTTGGCCTGGTACTACTTTCTGTCCATCTTTCTAATTTTTCTTATCCTTTTGTTTTCCCCAGCAGATGTGATGGTGACAAGAACAAGCAGCTGCCAGTCAGATAGCAGTGGGTTCATGGAGGAGCTGCCAGAACCTTCAGGTTTGCAAGTAAGAGATGAGCAGTAGTCATCAGTAGGCCTGTAGAAATTCAGTAACTCTGGCACAAGTAACAAATACATAAAAATTCATGGAGTTGTAAAAGCTTCATGAAAACAAATTGATCTTCCTGTAAAACCTCAGAAGGTGAGAAGCTTTCTCAGAACTTTGTGCACCACACTGATGCAAGATTGGTTCAAGGCTACAGCCGTTAAGGAAGAAATAGTACAAGAATCTTTGATTCTTTAGTTCATGGAGTATTTAAGATGTATTTAAAGATGTCTTGGGGTGCCCAGGGCAAAATAGTGATAGGCAAACCAGTGTGATAGAACAAATGTAGTATTTCAATCCCTCTTGTTTTGGTTTTTCCCTCCCTTCAGAATGCTTCGTCATCAGGAAAGATTAATTTTATTTCTGATATCTACAATCAAGAAAGAGCTCTGTCACACAGGACTGGTTTTCCTATGCTAAATCAAGATTTTCAACAAAAGCCAGATGATTGTGTTGCTAAGGTCTTTATTGCAGCTTGTGAGAGCATTTTGACAGTACCTGGATCAATGAAAGCATGCACCAGTCAGGGAGAAGAGACTCATCTGCTGCTGACTTCAGAAAACAGCACGTATCAGGCATGTAAAGCTGAGGCACAGAGGTTTGTCCAAGAAATTGTATATGACAAGGACAAGAAAGAGAAGACTGAAAGAAAGCAACTGGAAAAAGAGAGGTGCATAGAAGAGCAGAGGCCTTGTTTGCAGGGTGATAGTGAGGATGATCCTGGCTCCTCCAAATTTGATTGTTATTTATATTTTAGTAAAGGACACAAAAAGGCAAACGTAACCTTCACTGAACTGAGTGATCTAAACCCTGCAGTCATCAATGAGAACAATATTAGAAGTGAAGATGAATGTAAGAAGTGCTGGACTGACAAGGACATTGGAGTTGCACGCAATGAAGGTGCTCATGGAAGTAGTACAGGACATGTTAAAGGACCGAGGTGGGATATGGAAGTTGCCAGCAAAGACGATACCCTGCTTACAGCAAATGAAATGACAAACAGGCAGAAGTTGTGCAAAATGGATGGTGATTCAAAAAATACAAGATGCTCCCCCAAAATGGCGGTCCCAGAAACCCTGCAGTGGGGCTCAGCACCACAACATGGGAGCAGTGTGTCTTCTCTGCAAGTATCACAGAGGCATCCCTCCTGCCTGGCAGAATGGCCTGAATTTAGTTCATCTGAAGAGCAAGAGACTGGTAGCACAGGGGAGATGTTAGGTGCTAACGAATCAGAACGAGGAGATGCTGTCCAAACAGGTGAAATGGCTTCTGCTCCCCTGAAATCTGTTACTGTTCAGATGCCTTCAATGCTGGAGTTTACTCCAAGAGCAAAGGGCACAGGGCAGAATGCTCCTCTTAGTGAACGCCTTGCTAGGGAAGATCCCGTGGACTTCTCCAACATGTCAGTGCACTGTTCTGAGGGTGCTCCTCTCATACAGTCAGACCCAGGGGCTTTGAAGGGTGGTGTGAAACAGACCACGGAAGCCTCCAGCCAAACTGACAACCCCACCAGGAAACCCAGGTGGCCACCACTGCTTTGTTCACCCCACGCTCATCTGACAAAATCAGCCTCTCTTGACAGCATGGTTTGTGGCAAATACAGGTCACGCTATGGGGGTGAAGCCTCTGGCACCAGGGGTGTGCAGGGCAATCACTGCTGTCACTGCTGCTGTTGCCATGGCTGGTGCCCATGGACCTTCCCTGTGGCTGTCTCTCCCCAGGGCCCTGTGGGCTGCTGCTCAAACCATGCCACCACTGAGCTGCACCTCTTGAAAACATTGGTGCTCCTACAGGACACTGCAACACATAATCCTGCTCCGGTGAGTAGCTTTCTCCACACACTTGGATAGCTGACACGCTAGCTAAATGTACAAGCTGCCTTTTTCCTTCCTCTCCTGCCATGCATGCTTCTTTAGTGAGACATGTCCTGAGAATGTAACTGGGAAAATGAATGGGGAAAGAAACACTCCTTTCTGGGTAAAAATGGCAAACGTATCTGTGTGCCTTCAGTTGTGCCTCTTTTAGTAACTTATGTACATCAGTTCAATCTTAAAATGATTACTGTGAGCTGGGTGATAAAGTTTACAGGTCAAATGAGAAATTGGAGTATAAGAGTGAGTTCCTGTTCAGAACTGCTGAGGGTTCCCCAAAGCTGTGAAAGACTCAGCGTATGTTGTGGAAGAAAGCAAGCAGGGAAGTCGAGAGAAGCCTTTGCATCCTCAGGGAAATGTGGTAGGAGCAGCATACCTCCTGCTAGTTTGCAGGCATTTCCATTTTTCCTCTTCTATTTGCTCTTCATAAGGACATGAAACTTGAACTGCTGTACAAGCTGGGGAAGAAAATTCTTAGCTAAAAGTTCTAGAAAATTAAATTGATGACTTTTATGCTGCTACATCATTGAATAGATCATCCTGCAATGTCTTGTCTTTGAACAGTATATTGCAAAATACACTTTCTGTCAGCTGCCTTGCTGTTGCCACAAGATGGCAGTGAGTCAGTACCTTATCCTGGACTGAGGAGCTTTTTCTCATTCACTACCATTTTAGCAGCCTTCTAGTGGGGGCTAATGGTAATTTGTCCTCTCTAGTCTGTGGACAGGGAATGTGGGAGGAACAGACTTTGCACTGTACTGTTATCCAGCCTAGTCTGGTGGAAGTACAGAGAGGGGGGTGGAACTAGATGAGCTTTAAGGTCCCTTCCAATTTACATTCTTCTATGATTCTATGATATGTTCTTAGGGATATGGCTTCACATCCAAGTCACTGTGCAATATGTGAGTGAATTTAACATTAGTCACTGCAGAGATTACATTCGTGCCTACTTTGTACTTTGCATTACAGATGGGGTAGTTTCTACATCTTTTACTGAGACAAGTTTGCTCAGGTTACATCCCCTTTACTGAAGGCATGCATGGGGAATGCAACCACCACAGAGCAACGGTTAGATAGTAGATTTAACCTGCTTACATGCACATTATTTTGAAAAAGGTCTTGCATGAGAATAGTTCTAGAACAGTTAATTCCCCTTCCATCCCTGCAGAGTGTGAACTCTGAATGAATCCATATGAACTTGTGCTCTGCAATATACTCAAAAAGTCAGTGCCAGGGGAGCTGCCTGTACCTCGTCTATAAGGGCTAGCATGACTTTGTACCATGATTAGATTGTGGGCACTGCTCACTTGCACCCCACACACTTCCATCTAGGAACAAGAAAACTGTTTGAGGATCAAGATTAACATTTAGGGTGGAGGAAAATGGACAATCAGCCAATACTCAGTCTGCAGGTGCTCATTAACACACCAAGCTGCCTCCCAGGTGTGTGATTGCTGCCCTCATCCGCAGCATTAAGAGTTACAGTTGTGCTCTACATGAAGCAGACACATAGGAGAGTTCACCTCCGCTGCAGTCACACAACTGGCCATATCAAACTACTGTTAGTCTCCGAGTAGCCTCTTCTGGTGCAAACCCATGGCTGTTGGGTCAAGGCTTTTTCGTTTGCTGCTATGGGATGGTTTATTCTGGATCACTCATGGTAGGAGTGCTCGTACATAGCGTCTTCACTGAAATTGAGATGGAGAATTAGGTTTTTCAAATGCATGGGGAGCAGCTTTAGCCCTCTGGTTGAAGCTGATCCCCTAGCAGGGAGGGCTTCATCATGTTTCAGGTTTTGCTGGGACTGAGGGACGTATTCAAGCACAAACACAGATGTCATCAAAGGATATGATTGCAGGAATCCAAAGAGACTGGGCATTTCTATGCTTTGCAAACATGCCTCTTTATCAATTCCAGTAGTCAGTAATGGAGTGCAGGTCATGCACTGTCTTCCCATGGCTTACTAGAGACCAAAATTTGCTAAGATGGGAACATGCCAAACACCTGCTTGCACCTCGAGTACTTTCAGCATAATAGAGGGAGCATGTTTTCAGAAGGCAGGCAGTATTGCTTCCCAAATCACTTGGATGATGCTGTCTGCATTGCTGCCCTGGACAAGGTGTGAAAAGCCAAGCAGAAGTTTTAAAGTGGCTAGAAACTCAGACCTAGATGGCCTCTAGTTTTATTCTGATGGGCTGCTATCATTGTACTAGTCCTGTGTTGCAATGTAGTAACTTGCAAATCTGCTTATACTTTTTCATGTGCCATTCCTGCTCATTTATCTCCCCTGCCTTGAAACATTCCTGGTGTAGATAGATACACCAGGGTAGACGTAGATGATCAATCATGCAAGATACCTTTTTCTCAGTGAAGAGTAATGGTCACATTTGTGGCATAGGTCCTCTGACCTATTACAGATGTCTACTTCTGGATCAGAACAATTGCTCTGTTGCAGCACCTACCCATACGTTGTTGCAGTAAATATCTGCACTTGGTTAGATAAATCCAATTTTAGGTTAGTAACTGGTAATAGATGAGAAATTACCAGTGTAATGCTTGGCAGAACCCTTCAGGAAAGACTCTTTTCCTTCTCATAGTTTGTATTTATCTTCCCTCTCTTCCCTTCTCCCTCTTTTGCTTTTTAAAAACAGTCCAGTGGACAGTAATTTAACCTATCATTACTCCATAGCAACTCATCCTGTTCAAATATAATGTCTGACAACAGGGTGATAGCATCAGATTTTGGCACATTGCATCAGATCTTTGATCAAAGTCCTTTTCCCCTTCAATGGCAAAAAATGGAATCATCCCATAGTGCCAGGACTTGATCCTACATGCTTTAGGGGAAAAGGTGGTGACTGGGATGTGAGTGATGCACACAGAGTAAACTCACTTGAAGTGCCATCTGGACTTTCATGGCAGCTGCTCACAAGGTCCCTGTTGTGCAGGTAAGAGGAGGACCCATAAGGTTTAGGCTGTCAGCTTCAAATGCACTCAACATGGAAGTGTCCAAAGAAAGGAAGTAAAGTGGGATGTCTTCTTGATTTTCTGTGTAGTGTACCCTCAATGAGATAGAAGTGATGAAGAGCTCCTGCCAGCACTTCCAGGAGAAGCTGGATGAAATTGAACAGCACCTGACAGAAGAGCAGGTGCTGTTTTCCAGCGCTATGCCAGATGAAGGAAGGTAATGGCAGGCCAACACACTAAATCGAAAACTAGCATCGGCAAGAGCCCATGGGTGCATGCAACATGACTGGTCATTTGCGGCACCACAGCACTTCTGGTCACTGAGGTGCAGCTGTGGGTATCTCGCAAGTGGAAATGTATTGTGATGTGGGTTTTGCTCAGAGGAAAGTGAGCTTCTCTCTGCGTCATTCAAGGATCTTAAATATAAACATCCTAAAGGGGAAGATTGCACCATAGATGTAGGCTAGATTTTTAGCATGGAAATACTATGTTTTAATAACAACAGTAACACAGGAACAAATCTCATTCAGCTGGAGCTTGGTGTCCCAGGGAAGGGGGTGGTGATGATCTCTGACAAATCAGTCCCTTTAGGCCATGTATTTAGCGCACACAATCAACACAGGGGCAACGGAGGAAAACTTGAACTAGCTCTTCATGGACTCAGCCCAAGTTCACAGTGATTACCAATAAACCTCAGATTCACAAGAAATCACAAGGGGCTTCCAGTCTCTGCTGCCTAAAAGTAGGACATTTATGCAGTGTTTGTGCGGGTGATAAATCAGAAGTGATAAACCTGCCCAGACTCAAGCTGGCTCTGCAACTACAGTGTGTTTTATCTTGCAACTGAGATAATCAAGGAAATGAGAGTCTAGCAGAGAAGGGCTGTTATTTATTGTTTTGTAAGGTATCCTGTGATCATGGGTAAAAACAAGACTGCTGTGGAAGAAGATACAGGCATTATGTTGGAGCTGAAGAAGAGGAGGTTGTTCACTGCTCGCTCAAGTGTGTTTTCACTGCTGTCCCTGCAGGGAGGAAGCCAGACACCTGCGACTCTTACGGCGAGCTGTTCGTCAGGAGGTTGCAGAGCTGGAATTTCAGCTGAGGGATCAAGCTTGCCAGGTCAGGGGGAGCATCCTTATGGTATGTTGAACAAACCACTGCTATGGGTTGTGAGGGGAGAGTTTAAAGTCTGTCCTGCTATTCATTGTTCAAAGTGCTGACCCTGAGGTACAGCTGAACAATCCTGTCACTGCCAAAAAGAGGAAGCTTTCCAATAACAGACTTCAGTTTACATCTTTGACCCTCTTTCTTCTTGGTTATGCTGCTTGAGCTCGACTACCCAGGAGAAGTGACAACACTTATAAAAGTGTCTGCATCCTACTCTGCTCTTGGTTGCTAGAATAAGGTAACAGGCAGTCAGCCTACATAATCATTGAGAAACAGTTACCGGTCTGGTTCTTTTCTGGTCTAGCTCTCTGGTCAATAAGGAAAGGTAAAGAAATTATGGTCAGGGGACTTGTCTTTAATTCTTCCCTGACAAGGTTAGGTTAGAGGGCCAAGATTGCAATGGCCACAGGCTGAAGTCCATTTGCAGATTTTCCATGAGGCAATTAGGTCTATAGGTTTGGATTAAATGTCCTTTAGGCTTTTCTCTTTCTTTTTATGGCAACATCACATTTGCCAGATATTACATGTCTTCTCTGGACCAAGCAGAAGAATCAGGCATGCTTCATAGACTCTTGTGTATCCTGCTTGATTCCTTTTATTATATTTTTATTACTGCAATATGCTTTTCCTTCTATTTTCTCTGCAGCAGCTGGACCAATTACTAGCAGAACAATCCCATCTGTTTTTCGAGCTCGGACTCTCTGATTGGAAAGGAGAAAGAAAAGCCCAGAATAAACAAATGTTTCCAGATGCTGCTGACACTGAGCATCCTCAAAGTGGGTGCTCAAAAATGGTGATCCCAAGAGCTCCTAGCAAAACCACAACAGCAACATGCTCACTCTCTGCCCCACAGCTGGAGGCACCCTCAATGCAGTTTCCCACCAGGAAAATGCCTGAGTCAAACACAGTCAAGTCTGCCCCACAGGAGCTCTCTACCAGTGCAAAGGAAATAAAAGGAACTCCCCAAGCAAAAATGGACTTCAAGGCATTTATACACAATGTAAGGAGGTGTTTCAGGCTCACCCTCAAGGTTTTAAGTGGAAGGGATCGCTGACCTGCAATGCAATTTTACTACTCTGTATCTCATTGCCACAGCCTAGAGCAGGACACTTTCCAGCTCTGAAGGGGTGGAGCCCGTGTTTCAGGGCACTTTCAGTCCTCATAGGCAACACGGGCAGAACTGGAACTGGACCTGCCTTGATATTTCTCATTAAACTCTGTCAATGATCTAGATTCTTCAGAGAAGAACATATAAATATGTGGATGGTATTTGGCTTGCTTGGATTTTGACTGCAACTGTTTGACTAATTAGTACATCCAACCCTCTCCTACCGTGTGAAATCAGTAATTTATGGCTTCAGATTGCAGAGACACTTACCCAGTTTTACAAGGGCAGTAAAGGCAGTGAACTGGAAGGTCTGTTGTTTTTCTGGAGAAGCTCAAAGTCAGCATTTCTGACTGCTCTGATCTCACTATGTAACCATAAAATATTGTTTGCCTGCCTTTTGTAATATAAAATATGCCTCAAAATTCTCTTAGATGGCTGCCTTATCATTTAATGGTCTCTTCCACATACACATTCCTTAAAGGATTTTTGAGGGATTAATCAATTCTCTTAAATTAACAATAAGGGTTCAATTCTGCAGAAACTTCATGCAAACACCATGGGAGGGGATGCTCTTTATTATAGTCTTATAATACTTTATTGATTTGTATTAATATTACCACTGATATTATCAAGCAGAATCAAGTTCTTTAGCACACAATTCAAAGAGTGAGAGCCCTAGACAGTGAGGAACAAAGAACTGAAATGGTTGAGATCATCTTCTGTCATCTTTTGCACCCATTTCCTTTTAAGATTAGCCTTACTAACACTTATTTCCTTTTTTTTTTCCAGTTGAAGAAATCTTTCCAAAACTCTTTAGGTAATGATTCAGCAGAAGGAAAAGACTGATGGAGGACAGACTTATGGATTTTGTTTCTAGTAAACGCGATGGTTTTCCTGAAATGCATGGTGTATCTCAGAAAAAAAGGGACCAAACATCACATTATAGAATGTCCTGATCACAGCAGGTTCATTTGCAATGAGATGACTGGCCAGAAAACCAGCATTTTTAAAGGAATTTTAGAAGAGAGGCGCTATGTATTTTGCTATTCTGTGACTGTGAAACCTACTATGTTCCCAATTGCAGTAACATGGGATAGGGCTGTTCTCTGAAAAGCCATTTAGCAGGAAGAGAAGAAGGTTTGTTTTAAGGATAAACTTCAGAGCTTGCAGACATCTCAGGAGATACCAGCAGAAACGTATTCTCCTTATAGCCAATTACTTTAACACAGTCCTTCAACCAATATTAATCCTTAAGCCCACACTACCTTATATAGTCCGAGTCACATTCTAACTTTTAAGTTGTTACTAATTTCCTCTCACTAATTTTTGTAAAGTTTGTATCTACTGTTAGTATCAAATCAGAAGCTCAGTGACAAAACACGTTAAACACCTGCTCTGTCAAAATATTACTGTGACTAGTCTCCTGGCTGTCTTCCTCATATTTTATTTGTTTAAATCCAATTAAGACCAAAATAAGATGAGAAACACAGGATTTTCTATATTAGAAACCTTGAATCAGAATCCTGGTTCCATTTGCTGGGAGTGCATAGAGCCTGGATTCACACAGAAAAAGCCATAGGAAAAGGCCTCTCAGGTTTGGATCACAGCAAAGAAATTCAACCGGTTCATTTTCAAAGCAGTGTAGTTTGTACTACTGCTTTCAATTTAGCACTTCCCAGACTGTGAGATGTCCTACTAGCTTGTTTGTTTAATGCTCTGGAGGGATCTTGGGTGTCATTTAGGCTTTGGTGTTGCAAATCACAGCTCTGCAAAGGTGCAAATAGAAGTAGCATTTGCACATGTTTAAGGAGAAAATGGAGTCAAGCATGCTGAGCAGCCTCGAGGCTCCCTGCACCTCCACGTTTCCGCAGATGTTCAGGGTAATAAAATGATTGGGGGAGAGAGGTACATAACATAGCAACTGACAGGATCCTCCACAGTCTGCTGGGCCATGAATTTTGCTGGTTGAAATTTGCCCCTTCCTTGAGACCCCACATGGGATTTGTACACCACTTCCTTGTACCAAGTGTTTCAGAGTTTGTATGTCAAGACTTGTGATTGTGACAGTACCTTCTGGCAGCATGCAAACTGGACCAAAACATCCTTCACCTATGTTTTGGAGGAGCAAGCAGTAAATAAAGCTTAGTATTTACTTTCTTCACTGGCTTATGAACTGCGCTTACAGATGTTGTACCTCAGTTTGTGGAGGAAGGCAAGCAAAGAGTATGGTTGAATGACACACAATGATGCCAGCGCTGAAGGTCTCCTGGAATAAAGGATGACAAAGAAGCTTCCTTGCCTCAACCACACCATGGCTATGATTATTCCCATGAAACAATATGGTTTTTTACAAGCACAGCATGATGCGTAAAAGCTCTGTAGGTATGTGATGCTGCAATCACTGTCTGTCTGTCTTATGTCCATGTGTCCTGAAGATGGCATTGGCAGGCAGCGACTGTTCTTGATTAGAAAGGTCATGCAGGACCTCTGGTGCCATTTGAATTCTACCATTTGCATTCTTGACCAGGACTGAATCTGATTCCTGCTAAGAACTTTGTATGGTTTTTAGACTGGTATGTGCAGTCCAATTCCTCATTTCAATTTAACTATGAAATCAGTTCATGCAAGCCACAGATGGGATAGGGTTGTGCCCTATGCAAACACTTAGACACCCACAAATACTGTTACTGTGAACTTGTTTGCATTTATAGCTAGATGACATTTCAGGCCCCCAATGTTATTCTAACAGTTAAGCTGTAACCTTGTGCAATAAAAAGCATCCTAAGCAATGTGAAAGGGAAAAATCTTCTGACTTACCCTAGAGCACAATGAGTGATATTTCACTTCGTAACTCCTCCGAGCGTGTTACAAAGATGGCTGGGCAAAGTCTCATAATGCTGCTGTTGAAGATGGGAGAGAAAAGAAAACAGGCAGTAATTTTGTGATCAGGAAATTCCAGAGGTAGCACTGGTGACAGCCAGCTGTGTACCCACTTAACCTCACAGCGCTGTGAACCCTTTAAATGCTATCACTTCTTTCCCTTTAGGGCAGTCATAAGCAAATATGGTGGGAATCTTAATGATGACTTCACAGAATTAATGAAATACTAACATATCTGATTGAGTCTCATAATTGCTCTAGCTAGCTAGAACCATAAAAATTAGCTTGCAGGCTCACAAAGCAGAGGGTCATATCTTGGGGGGGGGGAACACACACGACTACATTGCTTGCAGAAAGCACTAGCACAAGGCAGTTTGCAAGTTTGAAATGGGAAGAAAACTGACCCTGTGACACTGAAGGACTTCAGACAGAAAAAGAAGAAGAAAAAGGAAAAGAAAAAAAAAAGGAAAAGAAAAAGAAATGCAAGTATTTGAGCAAAAGGCTGTTTTCCTCCCTATTCCAGCTCTTTGACCTATGTAGAAACTTTGGCTCTGTTTCACAGAGCTGTTGGGGCCCCACAAAGGTCCATACAATATAGATCAGAGTTGTTATGGAAAGGGGTAGGATACCCAGGGTGTAGGTGTGCTACCGCAGTTGTTCTCCTCCCTGCTCTCTGGTGCTTTTTCAGCATCTCTTACCTGCAGAAAGCTAAAACTGCCACCTGAAATCCTTTTAACTCCCTGTTAAATGCTCAGCATTTCCTATGTCCTGGTCACACCTTCTGGAGTGCAAAGGCAACATGCAGCCTCACTGGAGTAGAAGGGAGGTGGGCAGGGGAGGGTCAATGGAAAAATGGTTCCTTAGTGAAGATAGAAAATTCAAAAACTAATGATTGCTTTTGCCTACCCTTTTGTATCACTTGGATTTTACTTCTTTTGTCATTGTCTTTTGCCTTCATTGGTTTTCCCTGATGCCCCATAAATCTTTAAACCCTGAAGCTAAAAGAGGCTGCATTGCACACCAGCTTGAATATTGATTTTGCTAGAGAGTATAAAATCTAGAGAGATAATAAGGAAATCCATCTAAGGTACCCTGCCAAGGGCTCCCATTAGTTGCTTTACCAGGCATCAATTCAATAAACCCTCGAGAGCAGCACATGAATAAACATCAGAGCCTCTCTGGCATGTTAATGCATCAGTTGCCTAATTGTCAATGCTGCCAACAGACTACAAGAAAAGTACTGTCTTGGGAGTTCAGACCCTTCCAACTTCAAGTCCAAAGAAGATTTGACACAAGTTTAGGAGGCAGGGCTCAGGAGAGGGGCCGTGACAGCCTAATAAAATGGGCACAGCTGCTTGAAATGTATTGCTGATCTGCTGGATGCAGAGCCCAGCTCTAGGTGTGCTGCCTCTGTAATGCTCTGTAATGCATCCCAGTGCATGGTGATGAGGTGCCCCAGGTCAGGCTCAGGGTTTTCCCTGTGCAGGACTGGAAATTGTGTTTGGGGAGAAAAAAAATCTCAAATCTTGGCCTCAAGCAAAAGAAATAAATGGGTCCTGACACGAACAACTTCCTCCTTTAGGGCTACCAGTGATGCCCAGTGGCAGGAACTCAGCATCTTCATCCTAGCTCTGCCATGTGTGTTTTCCCTGTGACCAGGACCCTTTTCTTTACCCCGTGGGGACCCTTATTCCTGGCACAGCTTCTTTCTGTCTTATCTAATGAGGTTTTAAATTCCTTGCAGAGAAGTTATTCTCTCCTAATGTGTTCATACAGTGCCTGGCACAACAGGGGCCTAATATCAGTTGGGACCTCTACTTGCTGCTGTGATAATAATTTTACGAGCAGCCTTTCATTAAGATCCATTGCTACTTAAGAAACAGCTGCAGTGTCAGTTTATAAGGCTGGTGACTGTTTTAACTGCCTCTGCTCCAGAAACAAGGTTTTGATCTTCCCTGTAAAAACGGATATGTGTAAAAGAGGCTTGCACAAAAAGGCAATTTTGTTATCAAATGGGAAAATTCAGGATCAAAACATCTCAGACTTCCAGGAATTAAACAAATGTAAAGCAACATTGTTCTCACCTTGCTAGAGAAGTGCTTTTGAATTCATCCATCTTAATTTCTTTCTTTTCCATTGTCTTTCAATGTGCACATCACTCACTCAATTAGTACAGATCACAGCTAGTAAGAGGGACACAGGTGTGTCCCACTGAGGCTATTCAACCTTAATATGGGAAACATTTATTACCATGACAAATAATGCAGAACACAGGCAGCCTTTTCCTGATTTCCTCCCCCAGCCTCCCTTAAAATACTAAAGAAACCTGCTAGGACATTGGGGTTTATAGTTAATGATAGGCACAGAAGTAGTGAGGAGGCTAGAGGCAGGAGAGATTAAAGGATCTAAGAAGATTTTCCCCAAGTCACCCCTTATCCTAAGGGAGTGCGAGGGCTCCCTAGGGTTTCACCTGAAGCTGTTAACAAGTGTATTCCTTGCATGTCATGGCAAAGTCTAGCCCTGTCACCTGCAAAAGGCTTCTGCAAATACATAGGTAAGATATTCCTGCTCCTCTGTGCTCTCTGCTTGGCCAGCTGCCATCAGGAATGGCTACAGTAAGGTAAGCATTTATTAGAGGGACTTCACGTAGGGCAAGCACCTGCCAAGGGTAGCAGGTTACCAGGGGTCCTGAAAAGGACCAGGATTCAAATACTGGGTGGTGAAGAAAGCTGTGGTACTCACCTCAACATTCCCATGCTCCATCCCATTTCATTTTCATTGTATGAATTTTGGGCAAATTGTTTTAAGATGGCTCCCAGTCTGTGAGGGTACAATAACATATACCTTTCACAAGCAGAGCTTCCTTTCCAACAGACAAGTCAAGCTATTGTAAGCCTACTATGAAACAAGGAGTGTGGGGGGAGAAAAGCCTGTAGTTAAGTATTACCTTGCTAATGAATTAGCTTTTTAAAGGTTGACTGGACTTTCCAAAGGTTTTTAGGAGCTACTGGCAGAGAAAAAATATGGTAAGAAACAGTTATAGTCACTTAGGGGAAATAAAATAAAAAGCTAAGTACTTGAAAACTAGGGTCTAAGTGTCTCAGTCCTGCTTCTGCAACGTCCTGCATAAGGGTTCCACTGCCCTTAATTTTTGATCTACAAGGAATAGCAATAATGAGAAAATGTTACTCTCATTACATCAAGAGAGCTGTTCCAGATCTAGGGCTGCCCTAACCAGAGCAGAGCACTATGGAAGCAGGGTAGCCTGGACTCCTCACATCCTTGTCCCATTTAACAAGGTGAGAAGTGGAAGCAAGGGCACCCAAGTCATCCCAAACCAGGACAGGCAAATATGAGAGGTACCTTTCTCAGGCTTGGGTTTTCTGCTGAGTAAGAGTGCGTGTGTGGGGTGGGGGTTGCAGGAGTGAGATGTCCAGGGAAATCCAGAGCAGCTGGTGCCAAAGAAATCTCATTCTGGGAGTCAATGCTATAGCCTGGTGGTGTCTGCAGGTTGTATCCAGCTGTTGCCTAGCAAGCCCATCCTCAGAGACAGGCAGCAGGAAGCAATTGATGCCAACGCATGCAGCAGCTGGGCTGACTACCACCCAGGCAGGAGATGAGAAAAGGGGCTCCTCAGCAGCATGGGAGAAATGTTGTAGCTATGGATGGGACAGGGGAGACTGGAAATAAGGGGCAGACATAGAAAGAAATTAAGAAAGAGCAACAGTAAAGCAGGTATAATGATGTGGACTGATAGACCTGAAACTAGACAAAGGAGAGCTGAAGTGGAAGTTCACCTATGAGTAGATTCATCTGCCTAAATGTACCCTAAAGGTGTTAGTCCAATACATAGAGTTCTTTCAGAAATAAGTAAGCTTAGCTCCCACTCGGAAACCTGAGGAAATAAATTCACTTAACTGCTTTTTCCAAGAACACTTACGAGCACTTCAGGGTCACAGACTAGCAAAGGGGTTAAAGACCACAGTCAGATTAAGAGAAAGCACAGAAGAACAGTCAATTTAAGGCTATCTAAGTCTTCAATAAAGCACACAGCTGTTGAGAACATGAGAATTTACAGGGCCAGACCGCCTCTGACAAGATTATATCTTTGACAGAGAAACTAGGAAATATCTTTTTCAGAAAGCGCCTGGCCACTTTTTTGCAAGCTGCTCTCCTCACATGTCCTCTGCAGCCACAAAAGCTGGAGAAGGGACACTTGACCAACTGATGAAGCTCCTGATTAGGAGGCACCTATCCATGGTAAAGAAAAGGGATGGACATCAGCAAAGCATCCAGTTAGAATCAGTTTGCAGATGCTGGCTAGAACTGGAAGATGGATGAATGTGCTGTATGACTGTGCAGATGCTTTTCTGTTACTATTTTCCCCTTGGTTCATAGTTTTACTCCTTCTTCACTGTTTTTATTCTTCACTTCTGCTATGGGAGATCCACTGACTTTTTTATATCATATCCTCTCAGATTCAGTCTTGTTTTTTGTGCTCTGTATTGCAGCCAACCTGTCAGGTAAAGCTTTAGAGCCCACAAAGACAACCTCAGAGAGTCTCCATGGGAATATTTAAACCAGAGGATGTGTTGGTCTTCTGCTAGGCAGCTAGCAGTGTGAGTGCTTTCCCTCAATACAAGAGGGATAATGTTAACACAGTTAAGCATGAATTTAGACGTGTCACTGCTAATCCCTAGATTAACAAGAGGGAAGGAAATGTGTCAAAATAATAAAGTACCTATTAAAAAGGCTGTAGAGACAGACACTGATCCACAGTTAGCACCGATAGATGACAGAACATTGCCAGTGAAGCGTGAGCTGTCATCTGGCAACACTTTGTTCTGTAGAAACCAGATGAGTTAGGGACTTATGTCAGATTCACTGGGGATTTCCAGACATTGAAAGAAAGGAGT